GTTGGTTCAAATAGAAACCAACCATATGGTGCAAACTAAGCTAACCAACCATATAGTGCAAACTAAGCTAACCAACCTTAACCAATCACATTCTTTCTTCACTTTAGGTTCAAATCTAAATTATAAATTAATGATAAGGGTAATTTTGTGATTTAACCTTTTTGTAACCCCCTAATAATTAATTGGGAGTTATAAATCTTAAAAGATATCTCTAATTGATCATGAGATTTTTCTGATTTCTTTATTATTTCATGTTCATGTTCTTCTTTTCAATTTATGTTCTACATATATTGAAATTGGTTGTCTAAGTGTACAAGATTTTCGTTTCGTCCAAGATACATGGAGAATCCTATTGTAAAAGAATATCAGAATAATAAAAACGATAAACGCTTGCAGTCTATGTTCATATCTGCACCGATCCTTGATTTTGAAAATGTTCATATCTGTGCATCTCTTGCAGTCTATCTTCATATATGTTCACCATATGAACAACTTGTTTTCATTGAAAGACACAATCGTTRTTCACACGAACCCGTGACGATGTCATACGGTATGACATTGAAAAACATCACACCATATGAACATAATGTTTACATTGTAAGACACAGATGTTGTTCACACGATCATAGGGCCGACATGTGAACATATATGAACATATGAACATAGTGTTTACATTGCAAGACACAGATGCTGTTCACACGAGCATATGGCCGACATGTGAACATGAGTTGTGAATATGTTCATAATCGATCGTAGGTTACAAATCGGCTGGAGAATATCGGGTTCACGATGCGTGAGRATTTATTACCAAAAATACCCTGTGAACAATTGTTCATAAGCAGCCCAATTAATTTAATGATTAATTGATTATTTTTTAATACTCATTTAATAATGACCGTTTGACCAATTTACCCTTTGAACAATTGTTCATACACATATCAATTAATACATTAATTAAATTATTGTTTATTTAATCTCATTTAATAATAACCGTTTGATGATAAAATGAACGATCAAGATCAGGTCACATAGTTTGTACCATATGGTTGGTTTCTATTTGAACCAGCTCCACATATATATATATATATATATATATATATAGGGTTGGGTTCACGTGAGACCAGCCTGTTTCGTGAGACCCGTGAGACCATATTTTTACACGTAAACTTCACAGCAAAAACACTGTGAAGGTTTTAAAAAGTCGAACTTTCACAGCAAAAACACTATGAAGGTTTTAAAAAGTCACCTTCACAGCATTTTTGCTGTGAAGTTTCAAGTGTAAAATGT